AGTACCATCTTACTCATTGCTCTCCACTGATGATGTAAAGGCTTTCAAGAGGATTGTTCAACCATAAGGGTGGACTAGCACTTGAGGAGGATCTGACTCGACTTCAAGGCTGGGCAGACGACGACGGTTCTAACTTTAACACCTCGTAGTGTAAAGTAGTCTATCTGACACATGTTGCAGACTGCAACTAAAACTTAGATAACTCCCCCTTAGAGATGTTCCCGGTTGAAGATGATCTAGAAGTGTTGGTACCCTACGATCTGAAGTCTTACGTTAACTGCAACAAAGTGCCTTCCGAGCAAACCTTGCAGTGGTAACGTTGACGCGATTTTCGGCCAGTTAGACGGAAAAACTTTCCACCTGATCTTCAAAAGTTTTATTCGACCCAATTTACAGTACGGAACCATAGTATTTACTTCCTCACTCCAAAAGGACAAGGACACTCTTTAACATACCCAACAGCGAGACACGAAATCAGTTTGGGACTCATGTTCAAGTCTTATGAAGAGTACCTCCAATCGCTGAACCTCTGCCCATTAGAAGACAGGCGTCTAAGAGGTGACTTCCTAAAGACTTACGGGATATTTAACACTTCTGAACATCCATAATGTTTCTAAGTATTTGAATTATCGTATGAACTGGGAATCCCAGAATTAACGTAATCGAGTCAAGAACTACTACACAAGCACAAACGAATGTATTGTACTTGGAATTCGAAATCGAGCAATCAACAAGTACAAAGGTATCATTATTTCGTTCAAACACCCCAACGTCCTCTTAAACCCCCCACTCAAGCTTAGTCCCAACACACGCCTTAGAGGTAGCACCCAGGAACCGGAGACACAACATAGCAGAACGGACTGTAGATGCAACTTCTTCTCCTCAAGAGAGGCCAAATGTTGGAACTCGCTCCTGGATGAGCTAGTCCAAGCGACTTCAAATGAGTCGTTTAAGAAAAAACTTGACATATACTTAAGGGCTAAAGACAGTATCTTACTGATTTATCAACTTTTTTTCTTTTCCCGCCTTTATCATTAATATATGTAGGTTCTTACCTGGAGATATATGTGGTTCACTGCTACTAGATACGGAAGCCCGTCAAGCGGAAGCTTCTTCTATTCCGTCCAGAACCATTTGAACTTAACGCCTGCTGCTTTCAAACGGTTCAGTAAGAAGGGTTGTGTGTGGCTTTGTCAACAGTGCTGCTCGGATGCAAACAGCTTGTTAACCGAGGCTATCTCACTGGTTGATGCTGCCAAGAAGTGTTTCAACAAGCATAGTCGGAACGCGTCAAACAGCACTCGATCTGTTGACACGCAAATCAATGTGAAGGAAACTAAGGTGAGTCCGGTGATAGATGATTCACGCCCATCGAAGAAGGAAAAGCAGTATCCAAAGGGGTCTGCCTTAAAAAAAAGCTCAAGAAAAGCAGGGTCTTCTGTTCCCCGTCTCCCAGATGGGATCCAACAGGAAACACCTAGGAGCCGCAATCGCAAGGCTCGATCGGTTTCGACTGATAAACATAACACGACCCCTCAGGTCGTCGATAACCCCCCAAAACCCAACACTAGTTTTGACGCAACTGCTACTGCTTCTACCAGCAGCGTTAACGAATGGGTAAAGGTTGTAAGGAAGAAAAGTATTGACATAAAAGGGAAACCTGCCCCCGTAAAAGTGGTTGAAAAATCGAAAGCTGATCATAGCGACAGATCAGCTATTTTTCATAGAATTAAGGAGAGCGATAGCTCTGAACCTAAAGCTCGTTTTGAGCATGACATTGTACTGATTAGGCAGCTGCTTAATCAACTCATGCCTCAAAATATGACTGGGGTCACCTTGCTAAAGGTGTATAGACTAGGGAGTCTAACGGACTCGAAACCAAATCATTCCAGACTGCTTAAAGTAGTATTCGGCTCTTCAAACGAACGTGACCTAATTTTACAAAATGGACACAAATTAAAGGGTTCGGGAGTCTTTATCCGAAAGGACCTACCGTTGGCAGACCGTGTTAAAAGACGGGAAGCCGAGAAAGAACTACAACATAGGTTAGACGCTGGCGAAAAGGACCTGAAAATTGTAAATTTTCGGGTTGTAAGACTTCGACAGAGAATGATGCCGAAGCCACTCTGGGTGAAGCACGAAGGCACCTAAACAGGCTTCGGATCTGTTACACCAATGCACGAAGCTTACTCAATAAGCGATCGGAACTAGGTGTACAGATTGACTCTATAAAGCCAGATATAATCGCAGTAACAGAAACCTGGCTGACACAGGCTATAGATAGTATAGAACTTGATTTCGAGGGCTTTACGTTAGTAAGGGCCGACAGAACACAAAAGCGCAAAGGAGGGGGAGTAGCTCTATTCATTAGGAATGCTATCCCATTTACCATTATCGATAGTGTATCCCATGAGAGTGGGACATGCGAGTTAGTTAGTCTTCGCTTAAAATGCAAGGGACAAGAGCTGCTGATTGGTTTGGTCTATCGCAGTCCAAGCTGTGAGGCAAATGAGATCCTGTTAAGCAGTCTCAATACTTGGTCCCAAAGTGGTCGATGTCTAATCCTAGGGGACTTTAATGCACCAATGTTAGACTGGGAAAATCTGCGAACTGAATCGTCAGAAAATTCCTTTGAGCAGGAACTAGTTGATGCGGTTATCACATGTGCCCTAGTGCAACATGTGAAAGAAGCGACTAGGTACGACCCGGACACTGAATCATCCTTATTAGATCTTATACTGACTCACTATGAGGATGATGTTGCGAACCTCCACCATATGCCACCCTTAGGTAAAAGTGACCACGCAGTTTTAACTTTCGACTTCCATATAACTGCCAGTCATGAGGACGCGTCAGTCCAGTCCAGACCCAACGTCTGGAAAGCAAACATACCAGAAATCATGCACTCAGCATCGTTAATAGATTGGACAATAGACCCAGAGTCCTCCATTGAAACGGCCTGGGACACATTTCGAAAATCATACTTAAAAGTTACCACACCTCACATCCCTTGGACTATACCAAAGGGGCCGAAAAACTCACCACCATGGTTCAGTAGGGAGGTCCGTATCCTTCTCCGTAAGAAAAGGAAAACGTGGGATAGATTTAGGTTACTGGGGACTGATGAGTCAAAATCTCAGTATCGAAAGGCTCGGAACACTTGTGCCTCGACCCTCCGTAAGTCTAGAAAATTGTACGAAGAAAAACTTGTTAAGGAATCCATAGAATGTCCTAAACGCTTGTATTCCTATATAAACCAAAGGACAAGGAGAAAAGGTAATATTCCTGCTCTATGGGGAGACAGTACTGCTTCATCACTAGTGGAGGACGACTTTGGTAAGGCTCAAGCGTTCTCGAACTACTTTAGCAACGTGTATACCATAGAAGCGCCCTTCTCGTCAGCGTATACAGATCCCCCCATACATACACTGGATAGCGTGACCATTAAAGAACTCGATGTCTTTGGTCTGCTAAATAAGCTTGACATAGGTAAATCCACGGGGCCCGATGAATTACATCCTAGGCTACTGAAGGAATTATCTAACTTCGTTGCGAACCCTTTAAGTACATGCTTCAACCTATCCGTTACGCAGGGTCGCTTACCGAAAGATTGGAAAAACGCCATAGTAAGTCCTGTCTTCAAAACAGGCACGAAACACAAACCTGAGAACTACCGCCCCGTTAGCCTAACTAGTGTGGTTGTTAAAATATTAGAAAAGATTATTCGGAAGGAGCTGTTTAAGTATCTCGATAAAAACCGGATCCTCTCGGAGAAGCAGCATGGCTTCAGAATAGGTTATTCTTGTCTCACTAACTTATTAGTGGCTCGTGAAAGTTGGTGTGCTCTTAAGGACCAAAAGCTACCTGTAGACGTCGCCTTCATTGATTTCAGTAAAGCTTTTGATAAAGTTCCGCACAACCGGCTGTTATATAAGTTAAGACATGTCGGGATTGGAGGTAATTTATTGATGTGGATAAAAGACTTCTTAGTTGGGCGTCAACAAAGAGTAAGGGTGAACTCAAAGTTATCTAGCTGGGAAACTGTGCTTAGTGGAGTGCCCCAGGGTACAGTTTTGGGGCCAGTGCTATTCCTCTTATATGTAAATGATCTTCCTTGTCTCCTATCATCATCGGTCTTGCTATATGCTGACGATGTCAAGATATGGAGAACGATACGATGTAAGAGTGATAGCTTAGAACTTCAAAATGACCTGAAGAAGTTATCTGAATGGTCTCAAACATGGCAGTTGCCGATAAATACTTCCAAGTGTGTTGTGATGCATATCGGTCATCAAGGCACAGATACATACACGATGAATAACACTGAGCTACCTGTCGTCCAGACATATAATGACTTAGGAGTTATCGTTAGTCAAGACTTAAAGACTACTGCACACTGCCGTGCAATAGCCGCCAAAAGTTTTAGAACGTTATGGTCAATACGTAGGGCTTTTAGTCATGTCGACACTAAGACGTTTTTGACTTTGTATACAGTGTTCGTTCGTCCTAAACTTGAGTACTGCATACAAGCGGCTAGCCCCTGCTTTAAAAAAGACAGAGAGCTTCTGGAAAAGGTTCAGAGAATGGCGACTAAGCTGGTTCCCGCAATAGCGAAGCTTCCGTATGAATCTCGACTGGCCAAGCTGAACCTTTTCCCGTTGTCATATCGCAGAACTAGAGGCGACTTGATTACAGTCTACAAATTGCTTAGTGATAAATTTGCACCTGATATGCCCTCATTTTTCTTGTCTTCCAAAACAGAGAATTTACGAGGACACTCCAAAAAAGTTCATAAGCCGAGAACAAATTACTTGTCAGCTGACTATCGACTTTCCCATCGAATCATCAACGAGTGGAATTCACTACCTCAGCACGTGGTTGAGGCTCCATCCGTCGACTGTTTTAAAAGAAAGTTGGATCAACTGAGAGACCACCATTGCCAGGACTAACATAGGCCATCGAGCCTCCTGTCCTTCCCAAACTGAAACTGAAACTGAAACTGAACCACTTGAGGGCCATCTTTGTTTTGGCGCGAACGTCTGAAATGGAACAATGCAAGGTAGAACGTAGTCTCCATTTGGCACGTCGTCAGCAGTGTGCGTGTTTAATTCAGGAGATTGGGTCAAGGTTGCAAACGTAAGTTTTTACTGAAGTAGTGTGTATCCTTGTCTGCTTCACACAGAACACAGGTGGTCATAAATGCAGGCATATATTACATGCACTACTTCTACGAAGTTTTCTCTCCAGAAACTATCAAACCGATTTTAGTCGCAATAGCTGCCTTTTATTGTGCATGCAAGACGGAGGAATTTTCTAGGAGACTATCTTTCTCGATCAAGGCTGCGTATGATATTTTGAAGAGACCGGCACCTGATGAGGGGTCAGATGCATTCAAGAGACTCGTTCAGAATGTTCATGCTTTAGAGGCTACTATTCTTATGGCCATTGGGTTTCACACTCTTGAAGTCAAACAACCACATGTGCTACTCATTAAGGCGATTCGCGCAAATAAATTCCCGAAAGAAATAGCTCATACGAGTTACTATGTCTGTACTAATATACTGCATCTCACCACTTTAGTATTACGACATTCTGCAGAAGCGATTGCTGCTGCTAGTCTTTACATTGCGGCGAAGTGGAATAGAACAGATATCCAGTCGTCAAACGGGGATTGGTTCCATATTTTTTCCCCGATGCTGACTTTTGAGGAAATCTCTAAAATAACAGACGAATTCACCCTTGCTTTCCAAGAATGCGATTTAAAAATCAGAGAGCAACTGCGCTGTTCGCTTCGAGTAAGTCGTTTTACTTCAGGTATAGTATCTAGTCCCGAAAGTTACAAAGAGAACGAAAAGATGATCCTGTCAATAATCCTCCTCGAACTCAAGAGCCTCAGAGGAGACCAGTTCCTGATTCTCAGCAGAAAGCTGATTCTTGGAAAGTAAGTCCTAAATAATACTTTTACGGATGTTTCAATGAGTAATCTAATTTGTTCAGTCATTTTTGAAGCTCCTGTTTACGAAAAATGGTATCATAGTATTGCATTCAGATTGGGTGACCAGTGGTATTTATTTGATGCAACTCAAGCGTATCTATCTTCGGATTGTATCACCAAAAAGATAAGTTATCAAGGAGACCATTTTCCACCTGGAAACCCGTTTGTGAGTGCTGATAAAATTGATGGGCATCACCGTCATAAAAACTGAGTTTTAGCGAATACCATTTCCATTGTCGCGTTTATTACCAAACAGATATCAGTATCATTTTATGACTAGAGATGGTGTAGCTGGTTATAAATCCGCTTGATATTTCTGACAATAGTTCTGATATAATATTTTGTCACGATAAAATGTTCTGGTACCAACGTTTCTTGGAACTTGAACAGAGCCAATATATCTGTCGAAAAGCGTTTATTTATTTATTTGAACATATAAATATTGGCACAAAGGGGCACTGAATACATATGGGCCATACAAGTCACTTCATTTGTATATGGGCTGTGATACTGACCGGGTGCTTAGAGCGAAGCAAATGGTTTTCTTAGAGGGCCATGCCCGGAGCATTCGATCTTAAGGTCTGGTTCACAAGGCAGTGGAGCAGCGTCAGAAGATGCGGTCGCATGGCAGCCAGTGACCAACAATAAGTTCATACTCCATTTGTTCCTTCAGGATCCCGGAGCCCATGTGCACGATTGGTTTGGAATCACGGCTTTCCAACCGCCCGGTTGAAGCGTCGGACATTCGCTTTCCATCCTCTCAATTTCGTAAACAACACCCTCATCGCGAGAAGGCAATGAGCAGGTATTTCCTGACATTGGCCATGTGAGAGCATTTCAAGAGGGAAAGAGCTCTCTCCACCCTCGGCTCATGGCTCAAAATCGTTTGCAATGGCGCAGGTGCATCCACTCTCTGTGTTCCCCCAAATTCTAATCTTCTGAATTCTTCATGTCCCTTTTTTCCTCTTTCCAAATTTATTTCACTGGGTTGTACTCTTTAAATAACATCTCCAAACCCTAATCTTCCCGATTACTGCTTATACTCTTACTACCTCTACCACTACGGGATTTGAATCGACAACTGCATCTCTGTGCTAATGTGGTGTGGCAACTCGAACTGATGTACGTACGTACGAAGTTCTACGTTGTTCCTGACTGACTGACTGACTGACCACCCTCGGCTGCATTTCGGGTGAAAAACGTTAAAGCTAAAAGGTTCCGTTGAGGGATCATGTGGCGAATTCTTATTCACGACTTTATTTATAACGTAGAATTTCTGTTACAACTATTCTGAATGAATGTAGTACACAGATAAAGTCAGTACTATGCAACTGTGAGAGAGGGAATGGTGATTTCATCTTTAATATGATCCATAATAATATTTGGCAAAAAGTTAATTCACTTGAAGAGATCAGCTAAAACGGGTTTTTTTCCGATAAGGGGTTCATTTTACTTTTAGAATGCTATAAAGGCTCCAACAGGATCACTTTTCTCAGCCCATGTCCAATCACGTCTCAAACCAATCAGTTGCATGGTCGTTAGTATTCCACTCAGAAATTCTTGGCTAACCGAAGGAAATAAGCTCAATACATCTATCTTTTATACCACTACGTATTGTTAAGAGCCGATATGCCCCACTTTTCCTACCTAGGTTGAGTAAAAAAAACTCAATGTGGAATTCACTAGGTTAACATTTGTAAAACATACGCAAGCCATCTAGTATTCTAAATACTTATGCCTATCGAGTTATTATTAACGGATATGAATACTGCTAAACGTTGGCATTATTTACACATTGTTGTATGCAACCTTTCGTGGACGGTGATAATCGAACACAATTCCTGCACATCCTCAGCTTAGAAAGGAAAGATTTCGTGACATTTCCAAGAAGTAGCCTTGGTAATGCTACTTCTACAAACAAAGATCGTCAGACAGTCTTGAAATCGTGGTATTGTAGAATTGAGTTTAAGGTTTTAACGTTAAAACAGCATCCCTACATTGTGGTTACTGGTTTGATGCGATTATTCAGGATCACCCATATATTAGGTTGTATCTTAGAGAGGTATTCCAACTTGCCATCTGCTTTTCAAGTTCCTACCATCTCAACTGATGATTTAGGCTTTGACGTTTTCAACCAGTAGTTAACATGTTTAAACCTCACTTTATGTGCTTCTCTTTATTCATCCGGTTAGTATCGCTATTGCTCATTCAAACCAGCCTGAAATCGGGTACATAGAGCTTTACCTGGTAGATGTGTCAGACCATAATTTATATACCTGCTAAGGATTTTTCTGACAAAGAACATTAATTTCCTGGTCCCAGAATGAAACGTTAGGGTGGGGATAATAATTTGTGTTTCCCGCTGATTATTAGTATTTCCACCAATCTCACCTTACCACAAGCGGAGGAGATTAAGAAGGTACTTGACCCTTTTCAACGGGGTCCTGATGTCGGAATTTGTTATAACTTGTGACCTGTGTGCCCTGTTTATTCTATAAATAACGATACCGGAAATTAGAGAGCAGTGAATTATCGATCGGAAAGGTGACTCATAAAACCCGTACGAGCAGTCTAGAGCCCTTATTGATCCTGCTTTCCGCCTAGCCCATCCAGTTAAGTCCAGAACACTAATCTCAGCTTCTGAAACATGAATCATTTATTTCAAGCATACTGCGTTTATATGCCAACCAAACAGATCACAACGTACCATAAAATATGAAGCAGCATTTGTACAAGAATTAGCCAAATGTGGCTGTGTATGAGGCAGGTAGCAATTAATAAACGACATAATTCAAGAATTTTCAATCGTATAATAATAGTTCATAGGTCAAAATAAAGCTCATAATAAGAGGGACATGAATATGAACAGTTTAGTTGTTTAACAATCATACGACAAAAATATACGCATATTATTGGTCCATAAATGGATCCCAAAAGTTACCATTCTTTATTCTTATCAGAACATAACAAAATTAACGTTGTCAATCTGGGATAAAGCAAAAACAAGTCATAAAATGATCATATGTAACCGACCTCAAGTTTTGTCGTCACTTTCTCAGGTTGACAAGTGCTGTATTTACTAACTTGGTTTATTTTTCTCAATCCGCCAGAGAGATGTGTCCTTGGCTGTTTGAGCAGCCGGCAAAATACACTCCTTACAGTTCTCATGCTAATCTTGTTCGTCATCGGTCTTCTTTTTATTATATTTCTATTTATACTATTAATTCACTCCAACCTAGTTTTTTTCGCCGCGTGTCCAATCGGGCTAATGATTCACGTTTACTAATCGCTATCCCTAATTTCACTAAACCGCTCGATGATATGTGTTTAACCTTTCCGTTTTGACTCTGACAAATAGGATAATAGGCTCACTTTATTGTGGTATATCTGTAACTGGTGTACAAAATCTCAATGTGATTATCCACTTATCTTCATACACCCAGTGTACGAAATAGGTACGATGCATCTTTAGAGTCGTTAGTGGCTCGTGGTTTTTCAAGTGTAGGTAGATCGTTGGATTCGAGAGCAGGACATACACTCCTTGACTGCATAATTGTTGACAATCGCTTGTGCCTTATCAGATTAAACAGGACAGTACAAACACAAAAAGGGGGTATAGCAATTGTGTCCAAACTATTGGTTTCCGTCATAGTTCGTAGGTTGTTCAAGATCCAGGAACGATTGACTCGCAAGTAGCAGATTGATTTTCGTCCTAGTCGAGAGTGTTTTTATCATATCTTCACCCTTCGCCAAATGTTAGAACACTGTCGTACTTATATCAGACCAACAATCGTAGTGTTTCTTGAATTCAGGGGCGCCTTCGATTCGTTGAATAGAACTGTTCGTTGATATCATCTACTGAAGAAGGGTGTGTTCGAGGAGTTTATCAACGTCTTGAGAGCTCTATGTGCAAACTCTTCCATTGTTTCATTCAAGCTGTGAGGTTGGGTTGCTCAATCTCATCATTTTCTACACTTTTGCCATCTATGACTTTCTAGAAACAGCTCTGATGGATTTTGGTAATCGTGGTGTGGATCTGCTGCCTGAAATTTTTTTCGGAGTATGCGGATGATATTCTCTCACTGTGCGACGATATCCAAGCCATGCAATCCGCACTTAATCAGTCTGCCCAGGTATTTCCTACGACTAAATTACTCCCATTATTATTATTTCACTTGTGCTCTTTTTCTATCATATTCACTTTCTTTTTTCTATCTCTTCACAACCTCATTATTATTGTGTAGCCCATGTATGTTATGGTGTCTCCTAGCACCAATCTTTATGTGCTCATAAAAATAAGAGTGAAAAATAAACACTGTAAAAGTCATTAAGATGTTCACTTTTCAAGTAAGTGGTAGCCTCGCTCAAGGATAAATCTTTCCCGGTACTCGTACTTGGAAGCTCTCCAGAAAAATAAAGTAAACGATGAAAAAGATATATAAAAGGATACTAATCAATATAGACCAATTAGCACGGCAAATCATTATATCCATATTTTATTGGAAGGTATTTTAGAATAGGATAAAATGAATATCCAAAAGTACTACCTTGATCAGTATTGAACCATTTTATGAAATCTCAAATTTCTTTTAAAATAGTTCCAGGGTTCCTTAGCTGAATTATAACTACTTATTTATGAATCAGTGAAATTGTGTATTTTCCTAGAATATATTAAAGTACTTCTTAAACAGAAAAGCACAAAAATAACTTTATTTCAGTTGAAACTGCGCCAAAAGTTCCAGTTAACCGTTTCAGTAACATGTAAAATCCAATACGTAAAATCATTTAGAGACTGGCAGATATTTCAGTGAATTGCTACTTATAATGATTTCCAATGGCTGCCTATTTTACTTTGCTCTTTTTAACGTAGACAGAGAAAGGACCGTACGGTTCGACAAATCCTAGTGCAGCTCAAGTCCCATCTCAACATCCAAATCATCATGCTCGAAGTCATGCTGGTGGCTCCCAGAATACACAGATGAATCATCACAATCGGGTCCCACAATCACATGTTTATGGGAACGAACATTTCAATAGATCTCATTCCAACCATCCTCCAGGTCCTGGGAATAATGAACCAGATCCTAAGCGTCAAAGATTTGATCGCCCATACCCAAATCAGTGTCAACGATCACCACAACCCCACTTGCCTGGTGGACATCATCTCGACGGAACAGCACGTGTAAGTCGTGTGTATGTATGTCAGTCGTGATAATTTGACTTCTATCACTTTGCTGGGAAGGTAATGGGATTTTAAATAGTGTTTAAGTTTGAAGCTTTTGGTATACTATTTTGATGAATATGAAGTAATAACTATGTATGATAACAAAATTGTCATTGGTTCGTTCCCTCTTTTAATACGTTATTTTTTGACGTTTTCCATGACCATCCTTATACTGTATATATACTTTTGAGTTGTGTGTCTGTTCGTTCGTTATAACTAGTAGTAACTAGTAGTCTATAAACGTTTTATTGCATGAAGTAATGTCTCGATGTTTCTCTTACTCTTCACAAACTCAAATCCATTTAAAATTTATAAAAGAGCTTACTTCAAATTTATGATAGTCAAGATAAGAGTAATGCTTAAACTAATAGTGTAATAATGATGGATAGTGGCTAGCAGACTGATCAATTGCAGTCTTAAGTCTCAATGGGGAGATACAAGCCAAAACAATACCAAGTGAATTTAAATTCACCCCATTGGACAAGCAAGTGGCTATCAGGACTCAGTAGCTGAGTGGATAACGTGATGGCGTTTGAGGCGAATGTTACTGGGTTCAAGGCCCAGAGTGAACATCAACTCTGCGATGCAGGTACATCCAGCTGACGGGTCCCAAGTAGGATGAAACGCGCGTCTTGGATTCCACTGCTAGTCATTATCCATCATTGGTTAAAAAAACTTGTGAATTAAGGCAATATCGAGGCATACACACAGTATGCACATATGCCAATAACAGACTGATCAATTGCAGTCTTAAATCTCAATGGGAAGATACAAGCCAAAACAATAATAAGTGAATGTAATAGTGTAATATTCTACAATGTTATATTAAAATTTTACGAACTCATTATTTATACTCAATGTACAATTTTTTTCACAAGTATTTTAAAGTAAAAAAATTAAACCAATAAAATATTTGTGTTCGATAATAAATAACACAAATTCTTGCTATTACGAAATAATCTTTTTTTATTGATTTCATGAGATCTGGGGTTAACCTTTAATAGTTTAAGTAACAATTAAGTCATTATTTATTCTCTAAACATATTCCATGATTATTTTTCTTTCAAAGAATATGTCACTTTATTTACAATGTAATCAAATAGAGAATAAGACGCTAGTAATTGGCTTATCAATTAGAACCAAAAATCTCTATCTTTATGACTTAAGTATATTCGCAATTAGAATTGTAATCAAATGAAATTATATGACAAACATGAAAAAAGTTTTTTATCTGGTGAAAAAGTATAATAATAAAATCTTAAACCTTGAGTTTATGTGGATTTGAACTCATTAGAACGTATCTATACTACTGAAGGAAGTGAGTATTCAAATTCGTGTTAACAACTGTCACTTAAAAAATTAAAGTTACTCAAGAATAGCTAAAACCAATCAGTAGTTAATATGTTTAATTGGCACTATGCAACGCAGGTGATGTTATCTGGGGAGTATGTTTCAAGTTTGGAATCATGGAGTTAAAAGTCGACTTCTAAATCATCCCTCCACTTTTTACTGCTCATATGTTTTGCATTAAATTTATCATATTCGTGTAGAGAATCCCAATTTCGCGTCATCTATTATACTTTTAAAAGCTGCATAGTATTTCCTCATTAATAATTGTTAATATTCAGCTGATATAGATTATGAAGCCAGAGTAAGAAAGGACGAAAAAAAGAAATGTCTTTTCACTGTCACCGTATACGTCCCAATAGATGGTCACCTGGATATAACCGAGGGTGAGTTCCTTCACCGACGGGACTACCTTTTGTGATATCTGGGGACTTCAATACGTAGGCCAGATGTTTAAGTACGAGGAAGTTATCCAGGAGGTTGACAAGTGCTTGTTGTTCATAAGTCTAATTTTGGTCATTCACGACGCCGGATACAGTCATTTTCGATATATCAACTTCCTTTTTTCCTTTGTAGCTCAATCCTTTACCCAAAGAGCTCTAATCGCAACTAGCTGCCAATAGTGTAAATATCTGGAAGATTTCTGATCTTCTAGTATCACTCGTCTGTGTTCTATCTGTGATCTAGTACGCTCTGAGTTCATTGAGTGTCCCAATAGTCCAAGTATGGCGGATTTCAGAGTAGCTCATGCTAATCTGCTTCACATTAATGTGATAAAAATATATAGTGTACATTCACTGATTTTTTAACATTAAAATTAAGTAATTAGTTCAGTCAGGTGTTCAAGAAAAGTATGGTCGCAACATACACATATACAATTGATCATTTATGCTCATTATTCTTTGTCTTTGAACTCTGTAAATAAAGTTGTGATTTACAAGATAATGTACTATTTCTACGTCTTGACTAAAAACGGTTGTTCTTGGAATGCATTTTGCACTTCTTATACTAGTAATACACCAATTGAACAGTTTTGATAATCAGAAAATATTCATCACAGTTGTAATGAGAATACTATTTGTAGTAATCACCAATGTGTGTGTTGATCATTCCAGTGCTTCAGTTTATTTAGTTAATAAATATTTCTGTTTCAAACTCATTTTCTGTACTAACTTGAGTATTTTCCACACTTATAATAACACTAAGGTTCTAACTTTGGAATATTTTATTAATAGTATGATGTTCTTACGTGAAGAAAAAAAACTAGTTTTGTTGCTATGAGATTATTATTTTAAACTTCATGGCTTCATTTTATTATATCAGTTTGTACATATTAGCATCTATTCATCAAGCGTAAATTACAAACTCACATTCTAAACGGCTTAGTTGTTAAAACCCTAGAATGGCGTTACGATTTGGTAACCCACTCTATCTACTGTTTGGACACGTTAACCGTATCTCTAACTCTTAAAAATCAGTCTATCTAAGAGATCACTTAGGTCTTTAACCGGTTACTGTGTTGCATTATTTTTGTATTGTTTCTCATGATATATAGTTTTTTGTTCGTAGTACATTTATCATACTTTTACGAAAGCTTACCTACAAATAAATTTAGGCAAGTCGTATGGAGAGTTCTGTCTCTCATTCTGGCGGTGGCGAACACAAAGTACACTATCCATCTGCTGATCGTATCCATGGAACAGATTACAGGATGGCACAATCCACTGGTTACAATGCTGTTCCGAATAAGGTTTGCAAGATTGATCTTAAAATCTTATTTGTTTTTTGTATTGTGATATGTATTCATAATTTCGCTACACAAAAGCATAGATTCCCTTTTCGTTGCAGTTATTGACAATTCATAAGTATAAAATTACAATGACGAATATGCTTCCAATTTTTAGTAAATAAAGTCTATAAATAAAATCGTGGCATGTTATACATATGTATTAGTGGAGGTCTTTTGTAATTTAAGTAGGCATTTGATCAGCCTTGATCGGTATATTCTTATTGAGCGTGTATATAATATATATATATATATATATATATATATATATATATATATACGAAGTAATGGTCACTGAGTCTCACTTAATGAAAGCATCATAGCTAAAATGAAGACAAATTTGTATGAACAGTCATAAGTAGATAAGGATGCACATTTTCGATCCGTTTACTTGGCATTATCAGCTTGTAAATATCACCTATATGAACACGTTCATTCATAGATCCAGTATTATAACGAAACCTGATAAACTTAGCACCACAATATCAGTAAGAACAAGATTAAAACACCAATTTATAATAGTTCAGATTTGTTTCTTTACTTTGGATTTCATATTGTTTAGCATTACACTAGATGTATCATAACAACCAATTTTTTTTATTGAACTAATCAATAAGTTTTTTATTTATTTAGTAAAACCTTTCGTAGGTAATATGGTCTATTGTTCTTTCTCGTTCAAAGTTCTCGATGTCTGTAACCACAGTTGTGAACATGTTTTATCTTTTTTATTTCTTAAAAGCAACCTTACGGACGAGATGAACATGAAGACTCACGTCTTAACTCAGGGAATCTTCGTTCTGTAAAACCAGCTGGTCATTCACAAGGAAACACACGAGTGAAACCTGATCTAAATGACTATTTTTGAATAGTTACTGGATTAATATAGTTTTACATGGTGTTTTTTGTCGCATTCCTAAATTTCCGTATACAGATAGCGTTGTACATATGTCAAACTGCTTTTTTCCGTTTAAAACTATACCTACTTGTAGTTTGTTGACTCAAAACTGTCAGTTCCCCTTTCGTATTTGTCTAGTCTTAAGATAAACTAAAGTCTTTCTTCTCCCATTACTGTGTTTATCATTAGTGCATGTTTTTTCTTGTTTTCGCGTAAGAATTTTTATATTAATTGCTTTTATACGAATGTTTGGTACTTTTGTCTATTTCTTACTACATTTGTGTAGCTATTATTGTTCAATGTATATTACCAATTTTCTTTATATTGCCATTTATTTTGTAGTACATTGAACTATAAATAATAATTTCCGGTTACTAATAGATTTAAGACTTTGTTTATGTGCGCTGTACATGATGTGTGATACAACCAGTTACTAGTTAGTGTATTGAGGTTCCGGTCACGGATTTCTATATGAGATCTGATTTTTGTATACGCTGTTTAGATACAAATACCACATTATGGCTGTTAACTTTATGAAGTTCAGGTGACTGGTCTACTTCATAACACGGAAAATAAAAACCAATCTTGTAATTCTAGAATCTGATCTTAAAAAACGTCGGCAATAATTCTTCAAGGTGGTTTACCTATGTCGGTAACTGATTCTTCATTGGTAGATGTACACTACATTACTTAAATACACCAATGCCCTTCATCCTTATATCAATAGAATTTATCGAGCACTGCTCTGTGTTGAATCTGTATTTTCAGGGTGTTCATATATGATGTATTTATTTACATTTCTATCATCAGAAATTTACTAACCACCTGCGGTGACTTCAAAAAATATCCTTACTAATTACTAAATTGTAAAACTAGGGGGTCTGCCCGTATAAACACAGCCATTCTGAACATTGTATCTGTTATAGAAACCCAGTATATTCCTCGAAAATGTTCACTAAGAGCTTGAAAACATTTTATCCAATGAACGTTGAGCAGAAGTGACTCAGAAACATCTAGGACGTGTAGAGTCACATTACTGACTTGGTGGCTACATATCCTGGTACTATTTTGAGTAGTGTTCCAGATGCTCAAGTTCATCTGAAAAGCTATGGGTACCCACAATTTTATGTACATGAACTAATATCGGAGTGAAGCGTCCATCTAACATTCTGCACACTTTTTCTTCTATCCAACTTATGTACATTAGACTTGGGCTATTGAAGCAGCTCAGGGTATCTATTTAGTCAGGATATTCGTCAGTACTGTCGTACGTTGTTATTAATAAATTTTATTGGATTAATGCGTTGGGAAATAGGCTAGCTTCCAGTTGTGATGAAATTTATCGACCGAAGTTAACTTTCCATTCCTCTTATCTCTTATTTGTAATATTGGTATAAATCCAAAGCTTGATGTAAATATTATTGTGGAATATACATTGTCATATGGTCTGTTTGTCACCCGCTCATGTCTTTCTATTCATTTGGATCTATTAGTTCACATCTAGTTTGTCAATCAGTACTCAATATGCGCTTGTTATTTTACTTATGAATTGAGTCCACTCACTAAAACCATCCTCACTTGTTTCCAAAGTTAAGCTTTGATAACTGCTTTTACGGGAGCCATGTATCGTTAGTAGTCCCTTGGTATGTATTTTTTAAAGAAATGAGTTCATGTTCTGTAAATTCTATTATTTAAGATTACAGAAAACTGGTGTTATAAGGTTTTCTACAAAAATCTGGGACAGAGAACTGTGCATTTTGATTATGTAAACTTTCCCCTTTTGTAAGGCGGTTGTGAACGAGGAACCTCTAAACGAAGTAACAGCTACAAATAAACATATTTCTCAAAGTATCTTATGTCTGTACACTGATGTGAAAATTTCCATTCAGTGTAGGCAACCATAATTACAACCGAATCCCAGGAGCAGTTATTTCGATCAGACAGTATAATTTCGCTTTCTATTGATATCTAGTTGATAACTCTTGCCACTTAAAGTATTTTGTAACCCAGCTGGCTTTAGTATTTGATTATTTTTCCGGTCAGTTTTTTATATATTCCTATACATTACCTGTATGATTGCGTGTAAACCAAAGTAGTCTTCGGTGATCTGAATTCTTTCAGCACTGATTAGGCGTGGTATTCTCGCTAACTGATGATTCTCTTGTACTTGTTTGTACAGTTATTACGAATTCTAAATATATTACATTCGGCCGTACTCATCTAGTTCTAACTCTCTTAGAATACACTGTTCCGGATATTCTTGGTAAGCAGATTAATTTGAATACTTCTTGGTATCGCACTCATAACCCGACAGCAGTTCCGAGAAATGATCAGATAATTTCGGTGTTTTTACAGTGATTTCGGAGATATCATGTGAAACGTTCGACTATGCAAAACAGGCCACCGGAACTCTTCTGTGCTTAAGAGGGAGAGCCTGAAGTCATCTTATAAGCTTATTCAGAATGAAAGTTATCAGAGCTTCACCAAACAAAACATATGCTGAGTTAATTATCGCAATGCTGCAAACAAATCTGAAGAGTCTATACTGATTTGCGGGACAGTATATAAACTTATAACTAACAACGTAAACACTGAGATTTTAAAGAGTGTGAAAGCAGACAGTGGCAATTTAAAGGTCGAAAATAACTAATCGAGGTCTACAGGACAAGCTGTGAGTCATATGTTTAGAAATTCGAACACCTCACTTCTACTTGTCCTGAAGATCTCGTGTAGAAATACCACAAAAGCTGCACGACCAAATCATTTTAATCAGGGAGAAAAATTCAACTTGAATCACTCACATGAACTAAAAAACTCTATATTATCTGAAAATCATATGAGCGCGGCACAATTCTCATTGCTCAATAAACTGGAGGCTTTCAACAAATGACAGGCTTCCACTCGAGAACAGTTGTATCTTATCCACGAGTGTCTACATCAGTATTTTCCACCAACAGGTGTAAGCCAAAGGCCACCTATCAACTCCCCTGTGTAACGGAGGATAGGTAAACGAATTTAAATGGTACTACCTAATTATGACTGATGCACACTACAGGATACACAAGTATTGATGATGTCACAGGTATTCAGTGTTTGACAACGCTTCTACCAGTAACACCTTCTAATATATTTCGTTCCCGCCCAGAGAAATCAAAAGACAGAGTCGAGGAGATCGGAAGAGTGTATTTGGCGATGACCAATATATCGGAATTCTCTGATCTAATCTGGCTAGCGATTGCGGTTGATGTTGAGCACGGCGTTACCACACGTGATCTGGTGCGGATGCCTGACCGAGCGCCTTCAGCTAGGTGAGTCCACTAAAACATATGGTCAGCATCCAATGTCGAAAACTTAGTGCTATTTATTTTGGGGATTTATTTACCGCTACAGATCACTCCCCCCCTAGTGGGGCAGTGACGACCCTAAGACGTGGCCAGCCAGAAGTTTAAACCCAACGAGTTTGTCGTTGGTAAACACTCTTCTGATAGCTTACTAAATTTAGCAGCGTCTGGTCGTCTTTCCTTACTATATGGGACGGAGGTACAACATAGTAAAAAAAGAAAATGTACAATGAAAATTTCGGATCCTCATAAACGTCATCGTTCTTTTCCAGCCGTCCTGGAAAAGAAAAAAGAAGATGTAAGTGCATGTCGAAATACACTCGTATGTGCGTAAAAACACAATGTCGGCGGAAAAAAAATGGAAAATAAACTCATGAACACGTAATAGCGTTAAAAAAATTGTTTTTTTTTGTTTTTTTTTAAATAGAAATAAAAATATATAAGCATATTAAAATTTTTTTTTAAAAAAAAATAATATAAAATGTCGAGAAGTGCCTTACGTGCAATAGTCGTTTAAATGTTCTGGAAATCTCACCCTTCTTCCAGAACGCGTCGTTTTAAGTTTATTTTCGGATACTGTCGAAGTATCATCGTGTGTGTTGGTTGTCGGATGAGGTATTATAAGTGTCGGAGTCGTGTCGTTCGATTGTACCGAAGGAAAATCGACGTGGATAGGATTTCCTTCTATATACGCTGCTTTTAAGCGATCTATGCTGATGCTATCGTTTGTTCCGTTCTTATCGACTATATAGTACTTAGATTCACGTTGAAGAACTTTGAAGGGTCCTTCGTATGCTGATTCGAATGGTCGTCGATGCGAGTCTCGACGAATGAAAACGTGTGTACTATATCGTAAGCCAGGTTGAACGAAAACATCAGTTGATTGAGGTCGAGTGGAAGCAGGTTTAACTGAACGCATTGCGTTTGTAAGCCTGTTCGTGTAGGATTTTAGGTCCATGTTCATTGAAAAGGACGAAGGATCCACAAATTCTCCTGGAAGTCGAAGTGTCGTTCCATAAACGAGTTGAGACGCAGTGTATTCAATGTCAGCTTTCACTGCATTGCGGATACCTAGTAAGACGAGTGGAAGAGCGTCGGTCCATTGTGAAACGTTTGCAGCTGATAGCGAAGCTTTCAGTTGTCGGTGAAAACGTTCTACCAACCCGTTTGCTTGTGGATGGTAGGCGGTCGTTCGGAAGCGAGTGATTCCTAAAAGTGTGGTCAGACGACGGAAAAGATCAGATTCAAACTGACGTCCGCGGTCTGTAGTGATGGTTGAAGGGCAGCCGAAGTTTGCTACCCATCGTTCGACGAAGGTGCGGGCCACTGTTTCAGCAGTGATGTCCTTGATAGGTACTGCTTCTGGCCATCGAGTGAAACGGTCTACGCAGGTTAAGAGATAAGAGTATCCATTTGAATCTGGTAAAGGTCCTACCAAATCCAGATGAACATGGTCGAAACGAGCATCGGGAGTTTTAAACGAGCCTAAGGGACATTTATTGTGTCTGATAACCTTAGATTTTTGGCAGCTTACACAGGAGCGTGCCCACTCCCTCACGTCTTTATTCATTCCAGGCCAGCAAAACCTTTCTGCTATAAGCTTGATGGTTGCACGAACACCTGGATGAGAAAGTTTGTGCAATGTGTTGAAGACATTGCGTCGATAATGTTTCGGCACGATTGGGCGATCCCTACCTGTAGATGTGTCACAAAGTAAGGTTTCCTTACCTGTTCCCATCTGTTTGATGCGTAGTTTAAGTGTTGTGGACGATAACTCGTGCTGAAGATCACTGTCTTCTTTTTGAAGCTCGGCGAGTTTAAGAAGGTCGATTCCTTGGAAACTGTTCAAGGAAGTTATACGAGATAAAGCGTCTGCAACTACATTGTTTGCTCCAGAGATGTGTTGAATATCTGAAGTAAACTGCGAAATGTAGTCCAGTTGTCGAGACTCACGGGGAGAGTACTTGTCAGAAGGAGAGCTTAACGAGAAAGTGAGCGGTTTATGGTCCGTGAAAAGAGTGAATTCACGACCTTCGATGTA